TGTGACATGGAAGAGAAAGAAACAAGGAGTTGTAGCAATGAGTAGTGTAGAAGCTGAGTTTAAAGCTATGTCTCAAGGTATTTGTGAAGGATTATGGATCCTTAGAGTCCTAGATGAACTTAAGATATCGAGCTTCCATTGAAATTGTACTCTAACAGTAAAACTGGTATTAGCATTGCTCATAATCCAGTTCAACATGACAGAACCAAGCATATCGAGTTTGATCGACACTTCATAAAAGAGAAGTTAGATGCTGGAATCATATGTCTACTCTTCGTGACTTCAAGTCGGAAAACTGCGGATATCTTGACCAAAAGTTTGACAAGACCTACTTTTGTGCATTTGATAGATAAGTTGGGCATGGTAGATATCTATGCACAAAATTGAGAGGAATGTTGGAAAGTATTATATTTCTGGTTTTATTACTTCCATGGGACTACCTTTATTTTTCTTTATTTTCCATTATTCTCCATTAAGGAGAAAATTAAATGTATTAAATGTATAGATACTCTCAAGAATAATTTTTGGGGACATAAGTAGGTCAATTTAAGCTGAATATGTATAAATCTCAAGGGTTTTTCTCTCCCCCTTATCTCTTTACTTTATTTTCTTTCTGGTTATTTTCCATCTATCTTTTTTATTCTTCTCTCTCTCTCTCTCTCTCTCTCTCTCTCTCTCTCTCTCTCTCTCTCTCTCTCTCTCTCTCTCTCTCTCTCTCTCTCTCTCTCTCTCTCTCTCTCTCTCTCTCTCTCTCTCTCTCTCTCTCCTTTTAATTTCATAGAAATTGCATGTTAGGTTATTTTAGCGCTTTCATAGAATTGCATGCCATTATGTTTTTCCTTGGTAGCAATTTATTTGTTAAGTGTAGGTTTTCTTATAAACGACACTTTGAATTTGTCTTGTTAGTTATTAAACTGAAAATTGTGATCATAGAATTCATATGTATTGGTTTTGTAATATTTACATATCTTGTATAAATTCAATATTATCTCAATAGATTACATCGTTTACTCTTTGGTTATATTGTAGATTTGATTTTGTTTGTGTTATGTAGCGATTAAGATGTTACATGTATATTCCAATTGATAAGCATAATCATTCTATATGCAAAGTTTGCTTTCGTCATGCAAACCATTTTCTCTTTTCAAACCTCTGATAAAACAATTTTCAAAAATAATTTTTCGATAGATCATTTTAATTGGGAGTTCTATTCCCTCCCCCTTTATACTGTTGTATTCTCCATATTCTCTTCCAATTGCACCCTTTATGACAACAATTTCACCTAACGTAACGAAAAAATCGAGGTATAATACTTGTACGCTCCATGTTTTTTCATTTCTAAAATAACCAACCTACTATGTCAGTTTCATTAGAAAAACTGAGGGGTATGCTAATTCAGGGTACATGCTTCAAATCTCAGGAACTTTAGTTTATGTTTTTGTTTCATTAAAAGTGACACCTTCCTACATATTTTATTTTTAATCAAAAAATAAGTCACTTTTCACATCGGTTAGGTTATCTAACCAAGGTAAAATTGTTTACTTTGTATCTATAGCTTAGTTTGTAGCTCTCAGTTTCACTTTCCTTCAACTAAAACTATACACACTGAACCATAACAAAAAGCTCTAAACAAATAGAGTCTAACAAATATCATCCTCCAATATGAAGATGATATGTGTTTAGGGATACCATTCGATATGTGCCAGAATGAATGATCGAAATCATTCCTTCATTTCTTCTTCATAGATCTGGTACATCAAACATCAATACTCATGTTATAGTAATGTTTTTCTTGTTGTTATTATTATTATTGTTGTTTTTTTGTTGTTGTTGTTATTATTATTTGTTGTTTTTGTTGTTTGTTGTTTGTTGTTTGTTGTTGTTGAAGGTGCGAGAAACACAAGAAATGGGGGTTTGAATTGGGTTTCTAGAAATAAAATCTTTCGAACCGAACACTTGAAGTTAACACAAAAACAAAAATAAATTACACAATTATTTTTATCCTGGTTCACTGTTAACTAAGTTATCCAGTCCATCCACCAAAGTGATTTTTCCCTTTCTCAACAAGGACTTAATACACTATAACCAAATTGATTACAGACACAACAAAGACTAACCGTCAATGTTTACAACCACAAGACTACCCGCCAATGTCTTCTTGAGAATTATGACTAAAGCCACAGTATCTCAAGGAACAATCATCTCAATGTTGAATTACAAGTTTGTGTGTTTACAGAATTGCTTCTTGAAAGCAGATACATAGAAATGAAGTACACATAATTAACACGACAACGCTAAGAGCAAGTTAAACAAACAAAATTCCTTGCTAGAAAGTTATTGAACAAAAGCTCTTGCTTTACAAAACTTTACAAAAGATTTTCAATGAAATTTCAGCAGCGTTTTAGAAAAATGATTCAGCGCAAATTTAATATATTTCAATTCTTCCAAGTCTTCCTTTTATATCCAAAAAGAAATCCGTTGAATGTTAGAATAGGAATACCAGATTTCCAGATGTCTTCATGCATAACAGTCAGTGAGTGGTAGACAACATCGTACCAATAGTACATTCCTTTCGCCACAAAATCCGAGTAGTGGAAGGAGGTGATCTTGTACTATTTCTCACGTAAAACCTTTGATCTTATCTTCTAATATTCAGAGGCTTCGGAGAATATAAGAGTTGAAGTATGCTCATAAGGATCAAATGAGTCTTTCGGAATCTTGGAGCAAGAGAGCTTGGCATCCTTAGAGCTTCAGAACCCTTCAAAAGCTCTACTATCAGAGTCACAGACAAAAACTTAAGAAGTTAACGTCCTCATAAATGTTACTTTAGAAGCATTTTGAGCTTTGTACGCGCACTTGTATCATTTAGCGTGTTGAGTCTAGAATCTGCTGATGTCACACGTAAAATCTTCAGAGTCAGAACCTGTTAACAAAATCTACACATTATACAAACCATTAGATTACTAAATTATTATCTAATCACCCATGTAATTTTATCATCAAAAGTTAAGGCTAGATGAAGAATAAATCTTGTCTCACTATTGTTGTTGTTTGTTGTTTGTTATTGTTGTTGTTGTTGTTGTTGTTGTAGTTGTTGTAGTTGTTGTTGTTGTTTAGTCCTGAAACTCTAGAGGTTTAATTTTGTTGTTTTTTAAAATTGAGATCGATGTTATATGTTGTTGTTATTTTGAGATAAGTATGTTAATAGGTTTATTGAGATTGACGTTATAGGTTTATTGAGATTGATGTTAAATGTTGATGTTGATGTAGTTTTGTTGAGAGATTTTTTTAGTTCTTATTAATGTTATTTGTTGTTTAGATTCAAATTGATTTCAATATTTTTGTTGTTATTTATTGTTGTTTTTGAGTTGGTGATGTTATTGTTGTTGTTGTTGTTTAGTTGTTCTACTTAGCAACATTTTGAAAGCTATATGTTGTTGTTTTGTTGTTGTTATTGAGTTTCAGTTTGAGATTGAGATTGAAATTATGTTTTTGTGATTCTTTGTGCATCTCTTATCTTGTTATACTAAACATTCAATAGGACATTATAGTGACAAAAAATTACACTTGAGTTTATTATATCTAATGTCAATTGTTTGTTTTACTAACCCCTCTTTAAACATATAAAATATTAATTGATATTAGAAATAATAATATGAAAAATTATGTTATATTTGAAAACATCTTATACTCGTTCACTGTTTTTCTAGCATTTTGTAACTCACTCATTTATCTCCTTTTTATGGTTCTAAAATCTCTTCAATACTTCTAGTTTTCCTTAAATTTTCAAAAAGGTTTTTTCTGGGGATCGAACCCATGACCATTTACTCCTTACCCGTCGGTGGAATTCCAACCGAGGGGTAATGTGGCATAATTTTTATGATGCCATTAGTTACCTCGCATATGAAAATGAGGTAACACCTCATATCGAACCGAGGTTTAAAGTGTTTTATGTAGTAGTGTTTGCCTCATAACTGGTCTTTTTGATTAGTTCTATGCGACTTAAAAGTTTGAAAATATGGATAATGATGATCCGAATGGAGCATATAGTAGATCACATAATTTTCAAAGGAAAAATGATGCTTATTAGAAGGAAAATATGCTTATCCCAAAAATGAAGTCGATAATTTTGTTAACTAACTCTGAAAAAAATTGGTTATATGATGAACCTAAAAACGGCAGCATATGATTTTGAAGGCGAGAAATATACTTATATTCGTGTTAATCTCTAAAGTATATTACTTTATCTCACATCATAAGAGTACATAAACAATTGGAACATTTTTCAAGTCCTTTACGAGGGAACTGAAGACGTTAAGGATTCTAGGATTAATACGTTGATAGAGAGTATGGACTTTTTTGTATAGAACAAGTGAAACCATGGAATCCATGCATACTCGTTTTATCCATGTAATTAATAAGTTAGACAACTTGAGAAAGTCCTTTTATAACAAAGATTATGCTAACAAATTTTAAGGTCTATATGCAGAAAATGACAAGCAAAGGTTACAACCATAAAAGAATTAAACAATCTTAATAATTTAGATATCACAAAACTATTTGGAAAACTGACCGAACATTAAAATAAACTAAAACGACCCACTAAAAGAGTGGTAAGCTTGAAAGAGAAAGAACGGTCAAAGAAGCGAAACATGATTTTCCTTGAAAGCTTCGTCCTCAATGACAAGAAAGTAAAGGATGTTAGTGATAGTTCTGACAGAGGCTCTTCCAAAGAGAAGAGATGGGGTTATTCGTCTAGCTTTATAATAAATATATAGAATGGAGACTTTGGAACATGATTGTTCGAGCTAAAAGATTCAAGGAGATCTCGAGTAAAGATTACAAGAATTCATTCGAAAATTGTGTACGAATCAATGGATCTAGATAGAATATTTTTATA